CGGAAGTACGGTCGGACCGGGATAAGTTAACAGCCTTCCGAGCGCTTCTCAACAGTCGGGCGCGGGCGATGTTGGATGCGGTGCGCCGAGGCGCGGAGAAGATTGAGCGGGTAGCCGCAAAGGATATCCTGATCGCGGGTTTCTACACCCCGGTCGACCGCCAGTGGGCGTTGCGATGCTTTCAGACGGCCAGCTCGGAGTTGGCGTGGAACCCCTGTCGCATGCCGTGGCCCTGCGTGCCCTGCACTGCCCACTTTAAACGATGCTGCTCGCTCGGAATTATTACTGGAGCTTTTCATGGAGAGTTTTCCGGACAATCTGCTGGAAAAGGCGCTAATCGTCTAAGCGGGATGCGCCATGGATGTATTCATGCTGGTTGAAGCCGTGAGACAATTAACAAATCATGAAGTTTCGGCTCTCCAAACTCACGAAGTCCTGAAAACACAGCCGCCAGAGGATGTTACGGAAACCCTGAAAAAGCTGAAAGAACAAGTGGCAGCACGGAATTCAAACTGCGCAATAAGCAAGAGCGGGGATACGTGCTTTCATTGCGGCAAACTAGGCCACTGGCGGATGCATTGCCCAGAAGGATACAAAAACGTTCTTTCGAGACACGGTTTACGCAGAACACGCCCGTCTCCTCAAACAATGCTATTATAGGAGCAGTAGATCGCGATACAATCCCGGCGCAATTGGAGATACAGGGTCGAAAAGAGTTATGCCTAATCGACACCGGGGCGGCAATATCGTTGGCGAGACCCCAAGCAAATGAACCCTTGGAAACATGGAATGCAGTCGGGGGCTACCAGTTGAAGGTGGACGGAGTAGCCAACCGGACAATCCGCGTTGGATACAAGATTTCCAAGCATCCATTTGTAATCTCAAAAGACACGAACCAGACACTATAGTGGGAGCAGATATATTGCCCAATTTAAGAGCCGTGGTTGATCTGAACAATGAACGGATGGTTACCAAATTCGTCACTCTCGAAAAAGAAGAGGTTGTCAGCCGTGAGTACAGAAACAGCTCACACGAATGTGTCGCCATCATTTCGGCCAGTGGTGCAACAATACTCCCATCTATTCACAGGCCATAATGACCCGTACTGGGTCGAACTCGAAATCCCAAAGAAGACGGGAAAATTTCAAGCCTATGTGTGGTGATCCAGGTCTACACGATGGCGCCTACCCTGGAGCGGCACGGTACAGTTTCAGGACATTGGCGATTGATCAAATTCGAATGCTGACGTCAATAGCACGTGCATAGCTCCTGAATACACGTCATTGGCGGTGGGTGCCAGCCAATCCTAGACAATGCAGAAAGAAGCAAGATCATGCAAGCAGTGCTGCAATCCAATAAGGTGGATGCCCAAGTAGCCGATAATCTCCCTTTGTACATATTATTTAATCACCTTCATTTCTTCCAATGAACGAAATACTTACTGCCTATCCTCGGGCTTTTTCCTCGCGTCTTGTTCTCGTGGGACATTGCTTCTGCGACCAAGTCCGTGATAGCTGATTATCGATTCGGGTCCTGTAATTCATAATGCGTGGTTGGTATTCCGAGTCCCGTGCGTATTACTACTACTACTACAATCATTACACTATGTTTCACGCCGAATTCCAATACACTTGGAGAACGAAGTCAGGCGGTAGATTGAACAAATGTTAAAGGAAGGAATCATCGAAGAAACTCGAAGTCCGTATAACTCGTCCGTTCTGCTGGTTAAAAAAGCCCAATGGTAAATTTCGGTTCTGTGTGGATTTCCGCCAAGTAAACACTGTGACTATAAACAAACCGATCCTAGTCCCGACTGTGGCAGAAACTTTTTGACCATCTGCAAAACGCAAAAGTGTTCTCAGTTGTGAAAATACGATCGGGATATTGGCAAGTGCCAATAAAGGAAGCCGATCGAGAGAAAACGGCGTTCGCAGTCGGAAATAAACAATATCAGTTCAAACGAATGCCATTCGGACTCTCTGGAGCACCAGTTACATTCCGCCTCCTCATGTTGAAGTTACTCGAAGGTGTCCCCAACGTGGTGGTCTATGGCGACGATATTGTTGTCTACAGTCAAACAACAACCGAATACACATTCTACTTGGAAACTGTCCTGAAACGAAACCAAGAATCTGGCTTTCGGATTACTGAATTGACGTCCCAATTTGGGAAGCCGACAGTAACTTCACTTGGGCACACGGTTGGGAACGGAGAAGTGAAACCACTGCCTGAGAAAATCCTCAAGCTAAAGGAGTTTGCACGCCCAACATCGAAAAAAACATTAAGACGGTTTATAAGCTGCACCGGATACTACAGCTGGTTCGTCAAAAAACCTTACG